GAATTTATAGTTGACACAGACGCAAGTGATACAGAGCTCAGCGGTGTGTTGTCTCAACGGAACGGTGATCGAGAGATTGTGATAGCGTACTTCAGCAAGTCGTTGTCAAAACCGGAAAGGAACTATTGTGTTACAAGACGCGAATTGCGCTATTAATTGACGCTATGGTAAAGTCGTTGCAGCATTTTAGCAAATATCTTCTGGGGCGAAAATTTCACTTACAATCTGACCATGCTGCACTAAAATGGCTATTGCAGTTTAAAAATCCAGAAGGACAAGTTGCGAGGTGGATTGAACTACTGCAGGAATACGACTTTGAGATCGAACATCCCAGAGGAAAATCTCATGGCAACGCAGATGCATTGTCAAGAAGACCTTGTCCTGAAGATTACAAACATTGTACTAGGCAAGTGAGTAAGGAAGTGGTATCCGTGAGGATGCTCAGGGCAGACCACCTCAGCAACGAGTGGAAGGACAGCTTACAACGTGCACAGCAGGAAGATCCGGACATCAAGCCGATTCTGGAATGGATGAAGGCCAGTGCTTCCAAGCCCAAGTGGAGCGACGTCTCAGCGATGAGTTCGACCACTAAAAGCTATTGGGCCCAGTGGGACAGCTTGCTGCTTCAGGATGGAGTTCTGTGCCGTAAATGGGAAAATGTTCGGGGAGACAGCTGTCATTTGCAAATGGTTGTCCCTAAAGCTAAAGTACTTGATATTCTACAGCTGTACCATAATGATTATTCAGGAGGTCATCTGGGAGTTAACCGAACTCTACTGAAGATCCGAGAACGGTTTTACTGGGTCCACTGTCGAAACGATGTCGAGGACTGGTGTCGCAAATGTACAAGTTGTGCGGCTGTAAGGGACCTCAGACTCGTAGTAGAGGTGCATTGAAGTTGTACAATGTTGGTGCACCATGGGAGAGAATAGCCATTGACGTGGCGGGGCCGTTTCCGGAGAGTGAAAGCGGTAACAAGTATTTCATGGTTGTGATGGATTACTTCACTAAGTGGCCAGAAGTCTTCGCCATTCCAAATCAAGAAGCTTCAACAGTTGCAGATAAACTAGTTCATGAAGTCTTCTGTCGTTTTGGAGTATCTTTAGAGATTCACAGCGATCAAGGAAGGAATTTTGAGTCTCAAATATTCCAGGAAACTTGCCGAGTTATGGGTACTCATAAAACAAGAACGACTTCTTATCACCCTCAATCTGATGGAATGGTAGAACGATTTAATCAGACATTGGAGAGGTACCTAGCAAAAGTTGTAGACAATCGGCAACGAGATTGGGACAAGCACATACAACCGTTTTTGTTGTCATATCGAAGCGCTGTTCACGAAAGTACATCAGTGACACCAGCTTTCGCAAATTTCGGGAGAGAATTACGGCTGCCTGCAGACCTGATCACCGGGATACCACCTGATGCCCCACGCAGTATAACCGATTATGCAAATGACTTGCGGAACAAAATGAATGACATTTATAAACACGTCAGACAATCGGGCCAGCAAATGTCTGAAAAGATGAAAACCCGGTATGACCGCAAAATGAACAACAAAGGGTTCGACGAAGGTTCACTAGTGTGGTTGCACAATCCGGTCCGCAGCAAAGGGAAATCTCCTAAGCTTCAAGCTAAATGGGACGGCCCGTACCGGATTGTGACCAGGATCAACGATGTAACCTATCGGATACAGAAGGGTGCAAGAGGGACTCCTTAGATCGTCCATGTGGATCGCCTGGCGCGTTATTATGGGGCCGATAATGCTCGGGACGAGCATGTCTTAGGAGGGGGCAGTGTTGCGCGGCTAAGTTGATGTTGATGATCTGGCACTAGCGCAATCTAGTGTCGGGTAACGGAGCGAGGGGAGAGCTTTCCAGAAAATGACATCACTAATCTTTCAACCGACAGCGCCATCTGTTGTCGAAATGAAGAACTAAGCTTCTGGAAGCTGACTCTCGAACTTTCGGCGCTTTGTCGATTGGTGCGCGTATTTACTTGAATGTTCTGGATGATTCGGCAAGGTGCGATCGGGGAAGTAATGATTTTGGCGAGACAAGCGAAGCTTCGGAGCGGAATAAAGTGAATTATTGTGCTTAATTATTGGTGTTTTAAGTTTTAATTTGTGTAAAGAAAATTAAAGTGTTAATTTAGGTAATCCTATCGGCAATGTTTATTGTCACGAACCTCAGGCTCGTAACAGTATGTATAATCATTGGCACACTCTGTAGATGGATGGATGGGACAAGCGATGGAGTAATTTATTTATTGGAGACCACGCCTAGGCAAATGTAATGTGGGACGTTCTACTGACTAGATAGAGAGAGGATTTTCGCAAGGTGGCTGTTAGGCACTGGGTGCATGTTTCACTCGTGGCAGAGTCATGCTGTTGCTAAATCGCAGTTTAATGCCGACTTTCTACTGGTAACGAGACATTCCATTTGTATCCATATATCTGGGGGCACGGCAGTGCCCCTGCCAAGTCAAGCAAAAAAGCGGCACGGCCGTACCATACTTTTCTCGAAGCAGTTCCGGCCATTTTCGACCCCCCTATAACTTCATTGTGGATATAACTAGAAGCCTGAATTTTTCTGTAACCAAGTAGGTATTGTATAAATATAGTATATTTCAAATTTCGTTGAATTTGAACCAGTAGTTTAAGAATTATAACTATTCAAAGTTCCTTAATTTTGTCACTCACTGACTGACCGATCATCAAAACTCTAAGGCACTTCTAGCAAACATGTAAAGCTTCAAATTTAGAATAAAATTAGTGTTTAGTGTATAAATTAATGAAAAACTAAAATATTTTTCAATTTCGGCCCAGTTTTCAAGATACACCAACTGCATAAATAACTTTGTAATCCCATATAAATATATGGAATTACAAAGTTACATTTGCAGTGAATGAATCAGTGTACTTGTATATGTATAATAGGTGTAGATAGGTACGTTGTTGGTATTCAAGAAGTAGAAGGTACCGGAAAGGGAAAAAGTAGGACTATCTACAAAAAGAAATGAGATGCCATCAAAAACATAACTTGTAAAAATACCAAGTCTCGCAACTCAGTTCTTCTACCGTAAAAAGTTGTGAGAACCATGTAACCATGTTCCGAGGCACGGGGGTTACACACCGCCAACTTCCTGACTTATAGACCTTATTGATCAGTAGTCGCAATACTTAACCACTAGACCAACGAGGCAATCACATATAGGCATAGAACACTACAGATGGATTGTCACCGCCGAGGACTAAGACGGAATTCCTCACAGCCTGTAAATATAACATCTCTATAACCTCTTTAGACAGGAACACAGCGGAACAAGCACTTATTTTTGGCATCAGAAATAAGTAAGAAGATCGGACGGAATCCTAGTCAGACATGTCCAAAAGTTAAAATAATGATTAAAAACCTGACTGGGCCAAAAAGTTATTGAAAATAGAAGTTTTATTTATAACCTATGTCACTTCTGTAACCAAGACGATTTTTACAACATCCTGTATGTTAAGATCCATCAAGCCATTTAGGCTTAACATTATTTCTTAACAATGTTATGCAAGTACCCGCATTCATTACTTTTCATGACAATCTATAATGCCATCAAAAACATAACTTGTGAAAAATACCAAGTCTCGCAACTCAGTTCTTCTACCGTAAAAAGTTGTGAGATCCATGTAATATCAAGTCGGTTAATTTATTCAGTCCCTGCTTAAGGGTCCTTCTGTTTTAAGTTATTACGTAATTAGCTAACTGAACAACATCTTAGAGTGAATCTTAGAGATCAATGTTAAAAATCTTTTATGTTTTAAATAAATAAATTGACTTGGTCATCGCACTAAGCAATCTAATTTAATATAATATGTATTACTTGTGAGATACACTGTGTTTTCTTGCGATAGCCAAGTCAATGTATTTATTTGAAGCATAAAAGATTTTTAACATTGTTATGGTCACTATAAGATGTTGTTATGATAGCTTAAAGACAGAGAATACTCGTACATGTAATAGTATTACGTATAGATTGGCCATCCACCCTCTAATACAGACCTACCAATTTTACTTCACTCCGGCAGGATTTCATTTTTTTTAATGAATATTAACAATGCTATAAACATTACTAATATTCCCCTTAACTCGTGGTAAGCTTAAATTGCTTGTGTTACGAGTGGTTCACGCCTGTAGTCGAATGGCGGATTCGAACCCACGACCTTTTTGAGTTCGCGGTCCGCGCCCTGCCATTAGGCTACTGTCGTTAGACACTTCATTCACTGTAAGCATAGTTTTTTTTAAATGTGACAAACGAGCACACAGCCCACCTGATGGTAAGTGGATTTGTGGCCTATGGACATCTACATTTATCCTCGATTAAGAATCAAAACGCACATGCGTCACTCCTGAAGATTAAAATGGAATGCCTCGTTTCCAGTAAGGGTTTCGGAATCTCTACACTCACCATACGAAACACAGCAGTATTAAGCTGCTATTTTACGCTAGTAGTCTGTGAGAGCATACGATACCATACGTAACCATACAACCATAGTATAGTTGTAGCATGGCTCTACCACGTAAGTTGTATTATTTTATTACAAGTAGTTTTGACAACACGGCTTAAAAAAGGGACACCAAAGTTTCTTACCGATTCTTCTCTGAGAAATTTCTCTCTCGAAGATTAGAGGAGTCCTGTGACCAGCAGTGACAGGCAAATAGGCTGTAATTATCTATCTTTATAGAATAAGCCAAATACCACAGACTCGATTACTCATCACTGAATCTCCAAAGCTTTCTCGACGTCCTCGCCGTTTCTCGTCAGCTTAAGCTAGCTTCAGCTTGTCATAATTGATTTTTCAATAAATAAATAGCGCAAGTTTTTACTAAAGTCTATTGCAAATCTATCGGCCGACAGTTTTTGGTTAGTAATTTAAGACATTTACCTTTACCACCACACCTGGCAAATGCATAATGAAGTATTCACACTAGAATTAACCTTGTCTCTTTCAGGTATCAAGTGACTGTCCTAGTATTGACATACTTCACATATATGACTTACCACCTAACGCGGAAGCCGATATCGGTGGTGAAGAGTGTGCTGCATCAGAACTGCAGCGGGCTGCAGCCTCCGCCAGGGGTGGACCCCAGCAATGACCAGTGGTGTAATTGGGCACCGTTCGGTAAGTAGAGGTTACTTTCCAACATATGTCACCATTCAGAAATTTGTTGATTTAACAGTTGTTAACAATTCCTATGTTAGTATATTATATTTTGTCTCCCCGTATAAGTTTCGCAAGTACTTGTTTTACACAATACCAAAATAAGTTAAATATGTTTTTATTTATACTTATTAAAGTTAGCTAAAGTTACAGCATATATATGTTCCACAGCTGGGCACAGGCCTCCTATCATTTATAAGAAGGTTAAGCGAGTGATGACTCTTGCGCTAACGCTGTAAATTTCACAGTACGCGAGAAACCTGGGTTCGATCGCCACCGGCACCAATGAAATTGTTAATTACAATTTTAAGTGCTGATTTACCACATGGTGAAGAAAACATCGTGAGGAAACCTGCATGTTTTTTTATAGGATAAGGGTGACAAACGAGCACACAGTCCACCTGATGGTAAGTGGTCACTGTAGCCCATCACCACTAATCCCAGCACCACTACACTAAGAATATCACACCACTGTAAACAATTTTTTATTTATTTATTTAAATACACCCATTTTGTTACTACACTTAAAACTAAGGGTTAGTAAATCAACAGAAATTACAACAAACAACAACAAAAAACAACAGGTAGGTAATACGACGTGTTTCACCCCTAAACGAGGCACTCTCATGTTAAGTAGATTGCGGTGGCTGACCGTTAAGAAAACTGTCGATCGCATCTTAGTTAATTAATTTTTAAAAACTTTAAAATAATCAAGAGTTCATAAACATTGGACGTGTTGATAAATTTAGATCCCTTCCAGATACCAGCGATGCAAACACTTTGCTGGGGGCGTTAGACTCCGCATTTCTCTTTTCATATGCGGGAGCGATGTTTGTTTCTGGTAAGTGTTATGTCTGCAATACTTGTTGCGATTAATTTGTTCATTTGACAATAAGAGCAACGTCAAAATGTCAACTGTCTTTAGAGTTTTGGAGGGAACGTGACCGCCGGCAGCTTGCTCCTATTTGTCGTTTAAATAATGGTTTAAAGTGGATTTTGATACGTGTTCTTTTAGCTGTATTTTTTATAGTATACGTATGATAAACGAGCACTCAGTCCACCTGGTGGTAAGTGGTTGTTGTGGCCCATAAATATCTACATTTATCCTCGATTAAGAATCAAAATGCAGATAGATGAGTTGTCACTCCTGCGGATAAGAAGGATTGCTTCGTTTCCAGTAAAAGGGTGTTGGATTCTCTATACTCACTATACGAATCAAGCGTTAGTCTGATATTTTACGCTGGTATTCTATGAGAGCGTGTTTCTACCCCGGTCGAGCCAACCCATTCGTACTTAAATCGTCATGGCATGGCTCTATCACGTATTGAAATGTATAAAATTTTAGGTGTTGTCATCATTTTAGTTTTTAGATATGAATTCATCATTAGTCGTCTATTAATACACGGCACATATATTACATCCATACTGTTGCGGTTTTCAATCCTATCTTTATCTATTATTTACCGTTTTGTATCATCGAATTATAAACTTACGTCCACGATAATATTACTCAGGTATGGTGGCTGAACGGGTGGACTTGCGATACTTCCTGTCATTAGGGATGCTGGTGTCAGCCATCTTCTGTTATCTGTTTGGCTTGGGCCGCACGCTCGGCATACACTCCATCTCCTTCTACTTATTGGTGCAGGTAAATATTGTAATGTTGGAAGGTGTCAACAAAGAAAAGAAACGTGTTGTTCTGTCTATGTCTTTAATTTTAATACCTCTTAACAACTACAATAAACATTAATTCTCAATTAAATTAATTTTTGTGCTACTACTCTTCACTACACTACTTACTACTAAAACGCTCAGCGAAATCCATTTTTGTCGTCATACACCAAACTTTCGAACCGTACGGATTGCTTTGCTTTTCGTAATGCGTTCAGAAAAAAGAGTGGAATGATATGCCAGCATCTGTCTTTTCATCCGATTTCAGTGTGTGTGTCTTTAAAGCCATATATTTTATATTATCCATAATAACCATTTTCGGATGCCTCACCACTATCCCACCTATCACGGATGTTTCACTACTATCGATAGGGGATACTAGGGATAGTAGTGAAACACTTTCTTTAACTATTATAATAGTTAAAGGAAGTGCTAGTTTCTTATAAATTTATTCCAACAAAATTCAAGAGTTCTCGAAGAAGCTTATCATTTATTCCTTGTATTATAAGTTTAGAAGCAAGAAGTACGAAAATCTTTTTATTAATTTTTGTTTCAAAAAAAATGTTATTAGTGGTCAAACTGATCGAATGCTTTAGATTGATCATTATATTCAGTTTGTATTTCTAGGCAGGTGCTGGAATTGCGCAGACAACTGGCTGGCCTGGTACAGTGGCGACGGTTGGCAAATGGTTCGGCAACAGTAAGAAAGGTCTCATCTTTGGCATTTGGAACTCGCATACGTCACTTGGAAACATATTAGGTAAGATGTTTGTTTATAGGAGTGCCTCAAGGGTTTATTTTGAGTCCGTTTTTGTTTTGATAGCTAAATTCTTCATAAAACTAATAATTTAGTATTTTTATGCATTATTTTATTTTAAGAATATTAAAATATGCTTTTTTAAATTTTTTGCTTGTTATAATATAAACTTTGTTCCGCTTTTGCTTATGACGTGAAATGTACTAGATGCATTGTTTTGAAAAATACTTTAAATTTTTTTGAAATTTGAATGTTTTTAAACAGCTATATAAAATAAAACGAGAAACGAATTTATAATACTTGCTAAATTCACTCTATGCTTAGTAAAATTAAAAATAATTCAATAATTTCACCGTTATAATTTAGGTTCCTCCTTCTTATAAAGAAATACCTTATTGTACCATGAAATAAACATAGTCCTACAATTTAAAAACGAATTTAATAAGCTTATGTATAAAGCGTGCTTCGATCCACAATTAACAATAATTTTGGAAGGGTAAGATCGAGGCCGGGGATAAATATCATTGGTGGAAAATTCAGGGACGGTGATGGCAGCGGAGTTCGTGGAGCGCGACTGGGCGTTATCATTTATTTACCCTGCCATGGGGATGGGCTGTGTTGGTGCTCTGGTCTGGCTCCTGCTGCCTCCGGAGCCACGCCACGTGGGACTGGTGATCTCATCACGCTCTGAGGTCAGTTAACACTGTCGCGTTACCGGGCAATGTGTACGACGGTGACACTTGGTGACTACACTAATCATCGTCGTTTTAAAAGTACACTGCTGAGATGAGAGGTGTTGGCAAAAGGAAGATGCTGCTGCCCATCTCCTATTCCAATTTCCCTGTAGTGACTCTTCCAACATCCACGGAATATGGGATAGTGGATTCCTGGACTCCGGCACTACATGACGTAGCTTAATTATTAGTGTCGATTTTCGATGGAAATTCAAAAGTAAGCGACTTTTCAGATTGCTTTTAGAACTAAAAACTTGCAGCTTTTATCATCCATTCCATCCATCCATTACAACCTGTATAAGTCCTTTGATTTATATGGGCCTTCCCCCTAGAATGTCTCATAAGGGGGAGAATTCACCATAGTTGTGACGCTTGGCCGACTGTTTGGCAACCCGTATTTTGACCAATTTTTGGCAAGAAATATTTTTACAGCTGCCCTGCACTTTTAATGTTTTCTTAATAATAATTGCATTATTCCTTGTATTTACGCGAACACTACACATTTAAATAAAACTAGTTTTTACGGATTTTATCGCGTATTTTAACTTATTTTATATTTCCGACGTTTCAAGTACCTTTTTTTATAGAATATGGGTCACATGCTGGTAAGTGGATGCTGTGGCCCATAGACTACCCTCAATTAAGAATTCACTCATACTTTACAGACCCATGGTTACGGGGGAATTCCCTCGTGTAGAGTCCGTAAAAGCTAGCTTAATTTAAATAATAATTGCATGTGTGTTTTTAAAACTGAAACATGTGAATATGTGAAATCTAATTATCTAGAAATAAAACGTGTCGTATTAATTACGGTAGAGTAAAACATGCACTGTAGTGACGGCGTTGGAAAGTTTTTTTTTATAGAATAGGGTGACAAACGAGCACACAGTCCACCTGATGGTAAGTGGTTGCTGCGGCCCATAGACATCTACACCTATCTTCCATTACAAATCAAAATGCAGATGCGTTGTCACCCGTGAGGACTGAGATGGAATGCCTCATTTCCAGTAAAAAGGGTCTCCGGTTCTCTACACTCACCATACGAAATACAGCAGCATTAAGCTACTATTTCACGCTGGTATTCTGTGAGAGCGTGGTCCTTCCCCGGTCGAGCCGACCCATTCGTGCTACAACTATACTACTAATTTAACTGCAGCATGGCTCTACCACGTAAACGGTACTAACGGTAAACGGTCTACACGGCATCTCACATAATAAAACATCTAAGTAAGTAGAAACACTCGTTCAACATGTCCTGCGACGTGGCGATTATTATTATGGGATTTCCAAGAGTAATTTAAATGAATGCAGCACCAGCAACCAAAGGTTGGACGTTAACCGATTAATGACCATGTCTCAGAATACCATACCAAACTCAAGTGGTATTCAATCCCTCTTCGTCGGAATACTCATATACTTTCCGCGCTATACTGCGTCTCATTTAATATATCAAGTCCTGTCTATCTAAAAGAACTTTTTAAATTGCTATAAATTATTATATTACATACTATTATATTGCTATTTTTAAATAATTTTCCCTTACGGTCCAAAGTAAATCTTTCCCTGTAATGTCCTGTGTACTCCTCAAATTTTTATGATAAAACATTTTCTATTCTGGGAGTAAGGCTAGAACTCCTTAGCCCAATCAATTAAATGTGATCTAGAAACAGGTTAAGGAACACTATTTGTATATTTGTTTCGTTCGTTATCTCTCTCTTTTTTTATTTAAGGTCATTGATCTACCATAAGAATGTTGTCTTTTTAGTGCATACGTTTAACATTACCTAATTAGGGGGATTTTTTATAGAATAAAAGTGCCAAACGAGCACATAGTTCACCTGATGGTAAGTGTATGCTGTTGCCCATAGACATCTACATTTATCCTCAATTAAGAATTTAAATGCAGTTGCGTTGTTATTCAAGAGGGCTAAGATGGAATGCCTCGTTTCCAGTAAAGGGTCTCCGATTCTCTACACTCACCGTTCGAAAGCAGCATTATGCTGCTATTTTAAGCTGGTATTCTGTGAGAGCGTGGTCCTACCTCGGTCGTGCCGACCCATTCGTGCTACAACCATAATATAGTAGCATCGTGGTTCTACCGAGATTAATTTTGTTAACGCTTTTAATGCCGAAACTGTTTTATTTGTAATATTTCAATTTATTTTTAGTCCAGACAGTCGCGAAGATCTGAAGACGAAGAAGAACCATCACAAGTTATTGTTGGAGATCAGGTATGAACGAATTCCTAAGATTTTTTTTGTTTTTTTTCTATCTAAAGAAAGCACTATTTTTACTTATTAATCTCACAATTATAAACATTTGTTTGGGTCATTCAGTTTTGTTTAGTAAATATTTCAAAGTTTATTATGTTAGGCTTCATATAATTTATAGTATGTTGGTTTTAATTAATCGGTTAGGTTTTATGTATTTTAATTACAAATATAGATTTATAATGCACAGAAACCACGTAACCGAGCGATGTGAGGCAAGAGTGAATAACACATGGATTATTTCGACGTAACAATATCCGTAACAACATTTATTACCGAAACACTAAGTAACACAGTATTGGATTTTTATTTATTTATGTATTATTTATTTATTTACTTAACTATTTTTAATGTATATACTAAACATGTATCACCGAAATATACAACATGTAACAAAAACCCTGTGGTTCCCGTTAACTGCGTTATCAGAACCAGTATTCAAGCGTATAAAAATATTTTTTTTTTTCAGAAAACTCGACCATAATTTAATTAATTTTTTTTAAATTTAATTTAAAAAAATATTTGCAAATTGTATGTGGTTTTGCTTGCTCTAACTAACACGAGTATCGGTAACGCGGTGTCTTCGACAATCTTCTTACTCCTCGGCCAATGCCGACATAATAAAACCACATACAATTTACAAATTAAATTTTTTTAATTAAAATTAATTTTTTTACATGTGTTTTTTTTTTGAAAAAAATTCTAGACGCTTGAATACTAATTCTGATAACGCACTTAACGGGAACCTCAGGGTTTTTGTTACATATTGTATATGAATGTATAATGAAATGCGAAATCCATATTTATTATTCCCTATGTATCCTACTTCTTTTTTTATTCAATAAAACAAACCTATGTCATGAAACAGTATATTTTCCCAATTCATGTAAACACCACTTGGCTTACACTTGTGTGTATGTGTGTGAGTGTGTCCATGTTTGCGTGCTTGCTTGCGTGCGTGCGCGCGTGTTTGTGATTTTTTCTTATTACTTAAAAGACTTGTAAATAACTAAACTTAATAAATATATTATATTGTGTAAAAAGCTGTTCACATATCTTATATTAACCTCCGAAATACTCGAATAGATCATTATAAATGTTATTTTGATTTAAATTGGTTTCGCTGACTTGTGTACTTATATTATATCCGGAACACCTTAATTGTTAAAAAGTAAAAATCTCTTTGATGCCTAACATTATAACTCAATTTTCAAATTAAAACTATCTTAAACTAATAAATAGTAGCTATACTAACGCATGTACAATATATAGTAACATACTATGCGCGCACGATATCACTAGGATTGGATTAAAGTTAAATTTCTAAATATCATTGAGACACAGTTCACTGACCTCTATATATACAAGTACGCTGGACTGGCTGTACACCGTGACATGATGAGGCGATTTGATTTCCGCCATTTTGGCGCTGACAGCAGAAGTGAACGTCTACGGAACTAATAATAGGGATAAGACAACGTGACAAAATATATCGATAAAAATTAGATACTCTACTTATATCTAAATCAATAGATTGGACTCTATGGATAGATGGCCTCTACCAGTAATGTCCATTCTGTTTATGTATCATATTAATATAATGCCATTATCATTCATCATCATTAAAAAAAAAGCAAAACTGCTAGAAAATGAAAACTCATAAATATAGGGAATCATAACACATAAACTTCTTTTTCTTTGGTTATGGATTATGGTCATATTCTTGCCAGTATCAAGTAATAAGAAATTATCTAATATTACTATATTTAATAATATATATATAATGTTTAAAATCTTCATCACAATATGCTGATCTGTTATATATTGCGAAGGTTTTGGGAGACACAGACAAGCGATGACGACAGTAACTCAAGTTCTTAAGGCGCCATAGCGAAATTTGGTTTGTTAATTTTTAATCCAATTACTATAAAATATAACTTAATATCAAAAAAATCACTTTGACAGTCCTATTCTTACCGTACGCGCATAGTAGACACATTGTCGCACGTAATCGCACCGAAACCGCACATTAACCGCATGTCACTTCTGCAGGCGGCGAGCTTGCGGCCCAACCGCCACTCAGCCAACGCACCACCGGTAAGCTTTATTTTGCTATTGTTTTTAGTTTTAGATCAGTTTATATATGTATGATGAGCTATGTACTTGAACGGTTTTTTTATTTATTTATATTTTATACAAACTAAATCTTCACGGTAGACATGGGTAATACCGCTCCTACCCTATATCAAATCGTAGCTATGTATTGCATTTTAATAGCATATATTGAATCTATACAGGGTTATTTTGAAAAGACCGGCCAAATTAGCAGAGAAGGATCAGAATAAGTAATATAGGCAAATGGAGAACAAATATTAATTTGAAATAATCTCAATAATTCTGTCCTTTTTAACTTTTAAATTCAAAATGCGTGGTAACGCATTATTTTAAGTGATTTTACATTCGTTAATGTGATATTACACGGTTCAATACTGCTTTCAATTTAATTGCTTCAATGGCATTGATACATCTAAATACATTTCAATGCGATTGCGCAATCTCATTGAAAGCTTAGATTCACCGCACCTTTTCAATGCAATGGTGGCAATATTGGTCATTGTTCAAGGCCGTTGAAACGTGTATAAATGAAGATAGAACAGTGACTCATTCCGCTCACCGCACGACAGCGAAGCGTACCCACGCACACCTATTTCGCCTGCGCTTATGGATTTTTGAAAAATGGTTTTAAGTGGCGTGACAGTCAGACAAGTGAAATCTTTTCAAATAGTTCATTAAATTGACTTTCCGTCATTCGCAAATTTTTCAGATATGAATTTGGATCTTCTTCTGCCAACTCTACTATAGTATGTGCCAAATCGATTGAGAAAAACGGACAATGACCTCAGATATGAACCGAGTGTCAAAAGGCGTAACTTAAAATATCTGAATTTAGATGTGATAACAATATTTAAATATTGATATTATTCACACTTCTAGATCAGTACATATGTTTTGTTTTTTTGTTTCTTAAATAATACTCTCTCTGTTTCTATATTTTACGGTACATAGCGAAAAATATGTTATATTTTTATATTTCAATTTATGGTAAGTAACGCAGCAATTCATTTAATAACAGTTTTATATCAAAAAAATATTTGAAGCAATATAATCACCATATTTAGCTTTTGCAAATTCATCCCTTTAAAATAAACAAAACGCGCGTTACGTCAGTTCGTTCAAAAAGAAACGAGACAATAGCAGCCAGAGATGCGTCACCTTTTTTGGGCCGGTCCGCCATTTTGTTTTCATTCGTGTTCGGATAGCGCTTACGTGTGTACGTCTCGGGTAATTCATAGCATTCACTGCATTGTTTTAGTTGAGTTTTTACTGTTAAATTTGTTATATCGTTAAGTTTTTGTTATTGAATCTGTTATATTAGTTTTACTGTGACTGTCGTTACTAAATCGACATGAGTTCAGGAGATTCTGGTGAAGAACCCGGTCCTTCAACTTCATGTGGAAAGAGACTCCGTCGACTCATAATAAACGTAGCAGGTACTTACAAATAGGTAAAAATATGATGACGTAGCTTTTCCATTACTTAAAGCGCTCTTTTTATGTAACCATGTGGTATTTATTTTCTAAAACAATATTCATTTATGTTGTGTTGTACTATGGTAGTATATTTTTGTCATTTATTTACAGACCCATCTTCTGGAGCACCTTTAACGTCACCAGTAAAAAAGAAAAAACCTACCACTTTGTCGGTCGGGGAACAAGAGATTATCATTAATGTATACAAATATGTCAAAAACACCTGGCCCGAAGACGTATATCCTTCAAACGTTAAAATGGTAGAAAAGGTTTCGGAGATCTCAGGAGTCAGCAAGAGCACTATATATCGCGTGTATAAGAGATTCCCATAAAATACTAGAAAATGGAATAATTAATAAAAGAAAGAAGTCTGTAATTGACAAGTTGGATGGATAAATAGGCTATAAGAGCGAAAGTGCATCAGTTCTTTCTTGCAGGAGAATTACCGACTTTAGACAAAATTTTGTTCAGTATAAACCAAGATGACCAGTTGCCAAACTTGAGCAAAACTTCCATTCGACGTGTGTTGCGCCATTTAAAATTCAAATATATAAAGAGAAACAGAAAAAGTAGTTTAATAGATCGCCCAGAGATAGTTCTGTGGCGTACCAGATATTTGAGAGAAATACAAATATTAGTAAGAAACGAGGGACGTAACATTTTTTACCTTGACGAAACATGGATTAACGCAGGTCATACTATGGGAAAGGTATGGAAAGACACCACAATTGAATCTTCTCGTCGGTTGAAAGGCTACTCTACTGGCGCGAAAGCCCTTTCGGGTAAAGGAAAGCGATTAATAGTTGTACACGTTGGCAATGAAAATGGCTTTTTGGAGGGATGTGATTGGGTATTTGAATCATCATCTACTGGTGACTACCATGAGAGTATGGACGCTCTCCATTTCGAGGACTGGTTTAGAAAAGTAATAGAAAAAATGCAAAGCGGCGATGTCATAGTTATGAATAACGCTAGATATCACTCCAGACGTTTAGAAAAAACCCGAACAATAATGATTTATTATATTTACGCGAACACTACACATTGATTAAAACTACTTTTACAGATTTTATCGCGTTTAATTTTAATTATTTTAATTTTTAATTCCCGACGTTTCGGGTGCTTTCCAGCACCCATGGTCACGGGAGACTGAGGTGACTGACGTCCCGATGTCATTGTTAAACCCGGAGTACCTTCAGCTTTTTTTAATTATTGTTTATGGTCCGATCTATGCAAAATGAACTGATTATGTCCTGAGGTCTTGCAGTGGTATGCTTGGGTTTAGTTTTAATTTTATTGATTATAGGGTCCCAAGCAGGTGGTAGTACCCAGCCTCCTTCTCTATTGAAATTAGGATGTTTTTTAATTTCAATAGCCTCACGTATCATCCTTGGTAGGAATCGGTGTCCTTTCGCGAGGATTTGTGGTCTATCAAATCTGATGTAATGGTTGGGGCCGTCTAGGATATTATCACAAACTGCAGACTTCCCGGAACGTTGATGCTTCACATATGGCTGATGTGAAGCATCAACGTTCAAAATACAACTTTCAAGTTAACAGATGTTAAAAATTTACTTAAAGATGGTTTAACTCAAATCACGCCAGATAAATGGAAAAACTGTGTTCAGCATGTCCTTAAGGTTGAACAAAAAATGCGTGGCATGGATGATAGAATTGATCAAACTGCAGATCGCTTTATAATTAATGTTACAAACAGTTCATCTTAATGCACTTCAAGTGAAGATGATTGCACCGAATAAAATTAAAGTTCTTATATAATATTGAAAATTAAGTTTTATCTTTTGAATAAGTACGTACTTATTCGGTATGGTTATCACTCGAATGTTTATATGTGTTATAAAGTAATGCTTTTTGTTGTTAAGGGGAAATATACCCTCATATAGCTTAGCAAGATCCTCCGTTATGCCGAAAATATTGCAGCATTAATTTTGAAATAAATATATGGTAAAGTTGAGGATTAATGTTAAGGACTATGCTAGACGAAAACACGATTCGTAAAATTTTCTCGATAGAAAAAAAATCTAAAGTTACCTCCAAAATAAACAATAAACCGCTGTTATTCGTAAAATTTATAAGATAAACTTTGCATACTAACTGAACTAACTATAAAGCAGTGCTTATGTTATTTACTTTTTTTTAAATACCATTATTTTCACTGTAAAAAGAAATTACCTAAACTATCGGCGTAATGAAACTTGATTCCTGCCGCCCGGTTAGTTTCGCTCCGGCCTTTGAAGGGGGAGGTTGTGTCGCTTACGATCAGAATACACATTACGCAACAGGACGACGTAAAATTAAAATGGGAAATAACCGTAATAAAAATAAGAAGCGACTGGGTTGGCGTTAAGAAACAGGCATAAATATGATAAACCTAATGAAATAAGTATCCAACGACCTATCTACTTACAGTAGTGATTACAAACATGTCGGTACATAGCATACGACGCGCAGGGAAGTGGGGGCGAAAAGAATTTGAGTTGACTTACTATACCCCCTTAAATACTTTATAACAATAGATGATTTTTTTTCTACAGCGATCTTTTACATAGCTTTTTAATAATAGTTAATAAATATATATTATATCAATCATTATAAAAATCATTATAAATAAAGAAAGTACTACATATAAGATGTGCCTATCTATTGATGGTTTGTAACCCCTGGTTCAACGACCGAAAGGTCATTGTCCGTTTTTCTCAATCGATTTGGCACATACTATAATAAGATGCTTGGGGCTCCTTTAGTTATCCTTCTCGAAATCCACGGGAGCACCCAAAATCGCCGAAATTTGATTTTTTTATATAATTAATTTATTAAATAGTGCAGATTAACGAAATTCTCGCACTTAAGAGTTGGCGCGACATTGAATGTCAATTAAATGATATACGTGTATATTGGTAAAGTCGTTCAATGTGCAATTTTCAATGCTTTTCAATGGAATTGTTTCAATTTCATTGATCCGTGTAATATCGCCTTAAGGATTGCCCATAAATGAAATTCAATTTGGGATAATTTCAAATATAAGTAGAAGCCTTATTTACTCGTATTTTCAAAAACTGCAATAACGGTATATCATCATCTTCTTCATATCTTCTTATATATAAAAATCAATTGCTGTCCGCTTCGATCAACAATACCAACTAGATAACGGGTCACGTACAAAATCATAGCGGAATACTTTCCGCGTGAATATAAACGTAAACAGCTACATTTGTTTACCAAAGAAATGAGACAAAAAATTAAAATAGTTTTAAGTTCAACCTAATTACAACCATCGCATCTAGTAATAAAGTCACAAATCTTACGATCATTAGTCACAAAAAAGAACAAAGCTATACAATACTCCTATCACTTGGAAATGAAAAGACATAAATTAAATAACATTTGGTGTAAAATCAACCTTGTGTAACAAATAAAGTTATCTTTTCCCGTTATTGCCTTGCGAGTTATGTCATTTTGTTATGTTTCTGTTTTCTTCTTCGAATT